GATTAGTGACAGAAGGTCTACAAAGGATATAAGTATACAAAAATTGCGCTTTAAATCTTGAAAGACTATTTTGATGGTCTCTTTCTATTATACTAATATATATATATAAATCTATTATATATACATGCGCATATGTCTGTGTTTCTATATGTTTTTACTCAGTATGTTGAAAGTTGGTCCATCTTCAAGTCTACTCTTTTTTGCCCAGCTCAACTCTTATTTTTGAAGCATTCAGAGTAAAGTTGATTTATGGTTTGTCGCTTTGTTTTCATACCAAAGGCAAAGGGACATCATTCACGAACCCCAAACCAATGCCGAACCCTAAACTATCCACGATAAACCGAAATTATCCTTTTGTTTTTCGTTTCTATGCGAAAGAGTCTGGCAAAGTTTTACCGGACTCCGTCAAACCTAAACTTTAAGCGTAAATTTTGCACAAACACAAGGCTAATGTAGAAGGAAGGATGGTTTTAAAGGGACGGTAAAAGGGGAGTAATGATAAAAGTTATTTGGGGTGGTAAAAGGGGAGTAATGATAAAAGTTATTTGCGTCTCAGTTGGACTTTTATGATCGACTCGAAAGTTGATTTATGACCTGGAATTTCAATTAAACGCACAGATGGCATTTTTTCCCATGTACAAATGTAGATAAGTGAAAAACCCGCAATTCTCTAATGATTTATTGATGGTTCGATTATTTTACAGCTGCTTCATTGCTATCCGCGATGGATTTAGCGGCTGATCCGTGCGAGGACTTCTTTCAATTTGCATGTGGCACCTGGAACAAGGTGCATCCCATACCCGAGGATCGCAGCTCGATTAGCACTTTTGAGGTTTCCAAATATCAAACTGAGTAAAGTTATTGAATCGATACTGACACTAAATATCAATCGCAGGTGCTCTCCGATCAGCAACAGTTGATTTTACGTGGTGTTCTCGATGAACCGACCGATGATCGCGATAATGAGGCAACCATCAAGGCAAAGACATTCTACAAGAGTTGCATGGACATACGTGAGTATTGCTATCTGGTTATCTAAGATGGGTTTAACTCAAATTTCAGAGAAATTAATCGAAATTTAATTACTTAATTGAATTCAATTGAGAACTGCAACTCAAGAAAATACTGTCCGAGAAAGTAGTCAAAATTTGATTAATATAAATTCTGATTTCAATTGGATTGATTACATTTTTAAGTGCCTGAACAAAGACAGAATTATATTTGAAGAAATTTGTAAATATTTTAATTCGAATTGAAATAATTACAAATATTTTAAAAAAATTAATTCTTTAGCAAGTATTTAAATTGAATAGCAAAATGAATGAAATCTGAAATAGTTAAATGCATTATCAATTTGAGTTAAGCAAATGAATATCAAAGAATATTCTTACAACTGATTTCATGTTGAGTGCAGCCCAGATCCGTAAGATTGGCGCTGGACGGCTGAAGGAGGTGCTGCGCTCCTTGGGCGGCTGGCCGGTAATCGAGTCCAACTGGCAGATACCCTCGCATCTGACGGTCGAGCAGCTGATGGGCAAACTGCGGCTCCACTACAGCGAATCGGTGCTGATCGAACTGTATGTGGGGGCGGATGACAAGAACAGCTCGGTGAACATCATCCAAATGGATCAGCTGCAGTATGCGCTGCCCTCCCGCGACTACTACCTGAAAGCAAGCAGTGCCAACGATCGTCAGGCATATCACAAATACATGACGCAAATCTCTCAGCTGCTGGGCGCCAATTCATCGACGGCAGCCGACGAACTGAAGCAGGTGGTGCACTTTGAGACGCAGCTGGTCAACGCTTCACTGGCCGAGGCGGATCGTCACGATACGAGCGCCGTTTATCGGAAGATTTCGTTGCCGGAACTGCAGCGACTGGTGCCGGAGCTCAACTGGACCGATTATCTGCAGACGGCAATTGGGCCGGGGATTCAATTGCAGCCAAATGAACAGTTGGTCACATATGGCATGTCGTATCTAACGGAAATGGGTAGGATCCTGCGTCGCACAGATCGCCGGGTTGTCCACAACTATATGCTGTGGCGTCTGGTCATGTCCCTGATGACGCACATGATCGATGAGTATCAGCGGGAGCGCGTCGAGTTCCGCAAAATCCTCATGGGCATCCAGTCGGAGAGGACACGCTGGTCGCAGTGCGTCGAGTGGACAAATAAGAAACTGGGCGTTGCCGTTGGCGCCCTCTTCATACGGGATAACTTCAATCAGGATAGCAAGGAGGTTGCCCTGGAGATGATTCATAACATTCGGGCCGCGTTCAATGAGCTGCTGGCCGAGAATCACTGGATGGACGATGAGACGCGTGCGGTGGCCAAAGAAAAGGCGGATTCAATGAACGAACGCATCGGCTATCCAGAGATACTCACCAATGTCACCGAACTGGAGCAGGAGTATGTCAATGTAAGCAATTCGTTTTAATCTCGTACTCCTCATCCCCCATTCCACATTTCACATTCCCCATTCGCCATTCCACAGCTCAAATCGCTTACTTATTTCAGCTGACGATCGTCCCGGATAACTTTATCGATAATGTGCTGAGCATCTTGCAGTGGGAATCGGAGAAGCTGCTCCAACTGCTCCGACAGCCCGTCGATAAGGAGAAATGGACCACGGAGCCGGCGGTGGTCAACGCTTTCTACAATCCCAACAAAAATGATATTGGTGGGTGTCTCCCTACTACTACACCCTATATATGTATATACCCCGCAACACATCCACATTCTTACACAAATGTGTAACTCTGTGCAGAAGATAAGCTATATATATATATACATATTCTTAATCATTATCAGTCATCGAGTCGTTGTATCTTTCCCTCAATGCTGAAGCTATCTTGAAGAAACCTGGTATATATCCACTTATGACTTACAGTTGACATTGGAGCAATCGGTCGATTTTCGCTTAATAAAAAATTCTGTTTTACAAGTCATTTTTATTATATAGCTGCCATAGGGATCGAGATAGGCGTAGACAAATACATGTGTCATTAATGTATTTCTGATACAATATAACTGCTCAAAGCATATGAAATATTTAATATAAATATTTGAGATTATTACTCCTAGTTTAATGTGTTCCAAGAATGCATAATTCTTGAATTAAATTCGCAGTTATTTTTTTGTTCCTATCTCTATATATATATATATATATGTATATGCCGATCTTTTGTTTTGATCTGGAATTTTTATGTACTTTCTTTGGTAGTATTTCCCGCTGGTATTCTGCAGCCGTTGTTCTATAGCCAACACTTTCCCAAGTCGCTGAACTATGGAGGGATTGGTGTGGTGATCGGACACGAGATTACGCATGGCTTCGATGACAAGGGGCGACAGTTCGATCGCGAGGGCAACATGATGCAGTGGTGGAATAATGCGACCATCGAAGCATTTCGGGAGCGCACCCAGTGCGTCATCGATCAGTATTCGCGCTACAAGATCAACGAGGTCGACATGTACATGGATGGTCGGATGACTCAGGGCGAGAATATCGCTGACAATGGCGGCCTCAAGCAGGCGTTCCGGGTGAGCATCAGCCGCATCAGTTCGATCGCCAAACTGGACGATCCTAATCCAAATCCTGTGTGTGTTGTTTTTGCTTTTGCAGGCGTATAAGAAGTGGGAGAAGCTGCATGGCAGGGAGCTGATGTTGCCGGCTCTCAATATGACGCACGATCAGCTGTTTTTTCTCAACTATGCACAGATCTGGTGCGGCAGCATGCGGCCAGAGGATGCATTAACCAAGATCCGATCCTCCGTACACTCACCGGGATTTGTCCGTGTCCTTGGACCGCTCTCGAATTCACGTGACTTTGCGCACGCCTACGGCTGCTCAGTGGGCACAACCATGAATCCGGCGGACAAGTGCAGTGTCTGGTAGTCATGATCACGGTCACGATCACGGTCACGATCACAGTCACGATCACAGTCACTGTCACGATCACAGTCACTGTCACGCTCACAGCATGCGTAAATGCTTTGTATAAGCTTATTCTTTTTCTTATATATATACATATATATATATATATATATATATATACATATATTATTTATATACATATATGTGTATGTATATATATCTGCATATATATTTATATATCGTGTAACATCATCAAATGAAATGCGTCGTCGGTTTATTTTTCTTAAATTAATTTTTTTTTTTTTTTGTGGTTTAGCATTTATTATATAGCGCGTTAGTACGGAAATAGTATAAATTATTTATGTACTATATAACTAATTGTATTTGTATCAAAAACAAAGAAAAAACAAAACAAAAAAAACAACAAAAAACATGAGAAATTAGCAACTGCATTGTAGAGCATCCAAACCAAACAAACAACAACCAACGCCCCCGCCCCCGCCCCCGTTCCGAACCTTTCGTACTCCCCGTCCCATTTGCAGTGCAGCCTGTGTACCACCCCTCCAGTAAACCAGTTATCGAACGAACAAAACAAAACAAAACAAAAAAACCAACAAAAAAAAAAACATAAAACACAAAACGGCATTAATATTCATAATAAAGTGAAAAGTAAACGAAATGAATCGAAACGAAACGAAACGAAACGAAACAACCGAAATACCGATAAGGCAAGGCACCCACAACAATTTGCGCATTTGGTATTTACAATTGTTATCCAGAGCTATAATATATCTGAACTATGGGAATGTCAGGAATGTCACTGTGTAGTACACTCTGAGCTATAATTGAAGCTCAACTTGTTGGCATTGGTTCAACTATTCAAGTCAGTTGTCAGCTGTTGCTGTTGCTTACACACTGCATCCAGCTTCATCCAGCCACTCTTAACTATTATAACTGGACGATTTAATCATTGGCTCTTTCGGGATTTTCCCCTCAAAAATTCCATATATATTTTTGGCAATTCCAAGCCCAAAATTCAAACGTTAAGGCTTCAAAATCTATGATATGCTTGTGCGTTTTTATTATTTCAAAGTTACATCACAAATAACATTCAAATGCCTCGGATGCTATGTACATACATATGTAGCTTATATGTAAGGCAATATATACATATCTATATATGTGTGTATGTGTATATAAATATCGGAATACATTTTGTATATGGTATATAATTTGTATAATTTCGTTCGGCAGGCTAGGAGCCGCACTAAAGCTATGTGGGTCAACGCTAGACCCTAGTTTCTCATATGTATTGTATATCGTATATGTATCTATATATATATATATCGTATATCGTATATCGTATATCGTTTATCGTATAACGAATATATTGATATCAAAACGTCTAGCAAAACACAGTCCGTTGTTAACAATTGGTTAAAATAGTCATAGCCAAGAGCGGTGTTTTTAGGTACTGTGAACCCATCTAGCATTTGGATTGGAAACTCTTTGATTATTGGAGAATTATTGGAAGCTCACTAGAAGCTGCTGGAAAAGCTCATTAAAAGCGGTGCATTTGAATCCAAGTTGTTTCTTGGAAAGTGTTGGCTACTGGAAAGCGACAAGTGCTGCTGGTAGCTAAGAGTCAACCAGGGATGCACTGGAGCTCGCTGCGACTCGCTGGATGGTCTAGAAGATGTCCATCTTACATCCGTTGGAAAGTCAATGGAAGTTGTAGCTTTAAGTTAGCTTTGTTGGATTGCGAACTGTCACATGTCCTGTTAAATGATCAAAACTGGAAAGTCACTGGAAGCCTGGAAACTAATAGTTTGTTAGACGCATGTGTTTTGCTCGATAATTGGTTGGCTACACTCGGAAAGAATACTGCATCATTATCATTATCATTATCGTCATCGTCATCGTCATTGTCATCATTTTGGGAACTTAATAACATATTCCGCACGGAATTATCACACTTCTGCTTATGCACTAAATAAGGGAGGATTAACGATTAAGGTCGTCTTATTGATTTATAGGTACCCGTTGCTAGATGCGCAATGTTGAGGCGGAGGCTGAACCAGCGCCTCTGTTAACTCTTGTTGGAGGTTGGAGTGACCAGCTCTGCTCATCGGCGCTGGCAAAAATGAGATAGATGAAATTGCCAGCGATATTTAGGCCCGCCGCCAGCCAGAAGACAATGTGCCACTGGGTGAGCGTCTCCCGATGATTGATGATCAGCCCAACCACATACGGTGCAAGGAAGCCACACATATTCGCCGCCGAATTGGTTATGCCATACATGGTGCCAGCAAATCGGGGACTCAACGCGATATGATTCATTTGATTGCCAGCGTAAACGGCGCCGCCAAATGATCCAATCCCAGCGAGCATGAACGTTACCCAAACCCAATCGCAGCCGACATAGATGATGCCAATCAGGCCCAACGAGGGCACCACCGACGCAATCGTGTTCCACAGCTTGTACGAGTTGAGCAAGGTGATGTGGCGACGGGCGAGCATCCAGTCCGCCAGAGCGGAGCACGCGATGCCCATGAACCAGGAGGTCAGATAGGGTACGGCATTCAGCAGTGCATTCGACTGGATGTCAAAGTGCAAGATGTTGTTCATGTAGGTTGGCAGTTCGGTTAACTGTGTGTAGAATGCCCAACTCTGGCCGCACTGCGTCAGTAGGATGGCCCACAGTGGAACGCTGGTGGCCAGATGACGCCACGGTATAGCTTCATGTTCTTCCTCCTCCTCCTCCACCTCCACCACATCCACCTCATCCAGTTCTTGGTCACGGTCACGCTCCTGCTCCTCATCCTCATCCACATCGTCAACGTGATTGTGCTCCGGCTGCGACTGAACATGCAGCATGCGTTCAATATAAGCTCGTTCCTTGCGTGAAATTCTCGGATGCTCGCTGGGCTTATCGTAGACGAGATACATCCAGGCACCGAACCACACCAATCCCATCACACCAAAGATGTAGAAGGCCGATGGCCAGCCGCCGAGGAATTTCTGCGAGCAGAGCCAACCCGTCAGTGGCATGGATATAACGGTGCCAATATTGGAGCCGGCATAAACAATTGCCGCGAACTTATTCCGTTCCAGCGGTGGTATCCAGTGTGCCAGCATCGCATGCATCGCCGGATATGTGACGCCCTCGCCCATGCCCTCCAGGACGCGGACAGCAATCAGCAGTGGCAAGTCCCAGTGGGCCGCCAGTGGAGTGAGCAATGTGAAGATTGCAGTGATTAGGACACCATAGCCATAGATCCGTTTGCCGCCAAACAGCTCAGCCATGCGACCACCAGGCACCTGGGTCAGCACATAGCCATAGAAGAAGCTGCCAAGGACCAAACCCTGCGTCGCCTCATCCCACACAAATTCACCCTTCTCATCCTGCCGATCATACTCATCCTGATCCCAAAACGATGCTGATGATGATGATGATGATGAAGGAGAGGGAGAAGGTGGCATTTTACACGTATCGTTGCCAAGAATGGAGCCATTGTTGTGTGGAATGGCAGTCTGGTTAACCATGGCCACAATGGCCACAGAGAGATTCACACGCATCGCATAGACGACGGCAAAGCCGAGGAAGCCCATCAGCCCAAAGATGTGACGTGTCTGCAGCAGATCATCTTCGCCAGCATCATCAGCAGCAGCTGCAAAATTCAAAGCACAAAATTCACTTCAATTTCGATTCAAAATATATAGAAACTTGACAATAAAAGTGATGACGTTGTTGAAAATAGTTATGATAAAAATTCAAATGCCATAACAAATGAGATTAGACAGAATTGTTGCTAATCTTACAGTTCAATGTAAATCAAGCATGAAATGTAAATAAATTTTAAGCGTATTTTCAATTAGTGCTTTGAGTGAACGCTGAATTGGAATATATATTCAGTTAACATTTATATTGGTAGTTCAAGTTGTTAACCACTAGATTCAAATATATCTAAAATTCTTTGGGTTTTTTTTAGTGCTTCTTTTTTTATGTGTAGTTTTTTTGTTTGTTTTTGTTTTTGTTTTTCTCTCTTACGTCTGATTAGTGGCCTGTCACCGTCGCAGAAGGCCTCCTGCTCGTCATCCGCCTCCGTATCATCGTCATCCGCATCGGAGGCTGAGCGTCCGACGTTGCCGTAGTAGCAGGAGGCGTCGCGTGACTCGTCCGTCCATCTGTGCGGCGGCATCTGTCTGTGCTGCCCCAAACTTCCCACTCCAAAAAATCCAAATTTTCAAATTGTTGTCGCTTCCTGGTTTCTTTGCTTTTTTTGTTTTTTGGTTTTTTGTTTTTTGGCGAAAACTGTTTTGTCCGATTTATTGTTTTCAGCTATTGTGCAATTGGCAGCACATTTTCTCTTTTTCTATAACCAACAGCAACAGTAACAGCAACAGCAACAACGACAACGACAACAAATATGACGAAGACAACGACGAAGAAGACGGCCAAAGACAACTCATTAACAGCTGGAGCTAGCAGCGACTGAAGCGTATTCGTAACTATGTGCTTTGCCAGCAGCGACGGCAGCAGCAGCAGCGGCAGCAGCAGAGACAGCAGCAGTAATTGGCTACATATAACAATAGCAACAACTGAACCTAAACAAAAAGCACCAAGTAACTGTTGTTATTCTGGCTGTTGTTGTTGCTGTTGTTGCTGCACTAAACCAGTCAAACACAGTCACTCTGCAGGCAGACTCACTCTCTCTCTCTCTCCAGCTGTTTGTGCTTTTTGCTTACTCTCCCGCACGCTCATTCTCCTCCCTCCCTCTCTCTCTCTCTCTTTCTCTATCTACGTCTCCTTGTACGCCCATCAAGCAGTCAGCAGCATTGCATAGGAAAATGGACCAACAACAGAAACAGCAACAGCAAGTGAATGGATTATATTTGGCGCTCTCTCTCTCGCTCTCTCTCTCACTCTCTGCGTCAGCAGCGCGCGCTGAATTGAAGCGAAGGCGCTTTGACTTTGATTTACAAACTACTTACAATGTATTTATGTATATATGTATGTAGTCATTGCTTACACTCTGTTTTAGTTCTCATAGTCCATAGATATATGTAGGTAAAAATATATATATGCATGTGTGTGTGTATGTGTGTGTGGTGTTTGCGGATGTGCGCAGTACAAATGCATATTCAACAAGAATGGGCAAAAATCGAATTTCAAATGCCAACTGCTGAAAGTACCCTAAATGAATGTAAGAATTCATTAATGTTTTTCTTTTTTTTTAGCAATTTCGCTTAGAGTATATATATAATCACAACTCTTTTTTTTTTTGTGCTTTTTGTTGTTATGAAAACAATGTAGATAAAAGGAAATTGAAATCAATAACACAGCAGACACATATTGGATAGATAATGCTTGCAACTAGTCCCCATTTGAATTAACAGGCAAATGTGACACAGAGAGTTGTTCGTGAAAAATGATAAAGAGTCGAACTAATTCCTGTTATATACATTAGTCAGCATAATAACAACTATTAGCATGTCTTCAAATTGTTAACAAACAAAAAAAGGCATTATTGATTCATCGACTGCATTAGTGGGATACTGTTAATTGTCTGAGACCCACATTTTTTGAGGCAGGGCAATGAACTCGATTCCACCAAGTTGTCCAAATGAACAGATATCGAAATAGTCGCAGTGCCATTCAATAAATACTCTATAAATAATATTTATATATATACAAATTGAATTACGATTTGGCTGTGCGCACAACATCCCATTGAGTAAATACCCTTTCCAATATAAATACAAAAATAAATTGGAAGCATTTGGTTGGTTTAAGTTTTGCATTGTTAGTTATTTACAGGTATAATTAAAAATGTTTAAGCCGTTAAAAAACATATGCATACATAAATATAATACTTGCACATATAGAAGCTAAACTATTTAAAATATATAAAATAAAAAAAATTAAGTTACAATATTGCCTGATTTGAAATACGTTCGTTTTATTCGAAAAGCAAAAACTATATAGATGTATTTCATAACTAAATTGATTGCATTTTGAATAGAAAAGCTGCTTAAAAATAATACGGGCCAAATATATACATATACAGTTATTATATGCGTGCATATAGTGCATATATTTATATATTTCATTACATATATATAATATATATATATAAATATATTTACACATAGCCGATCTTGGATCTACTCCACCCCCACTCATATATATATATATACATATGTGGATGGAGGAGACTTGGGAGCGGGCGGGCGATAGGAAGGACTTACAAATTAAATTCAGTTCGAATTAGCTACGGCCAATGTTTATATAAGTAAAGATAAGTTTGTGTGTATGCGAATGCCTACAGCTAATCACCTAACAGTAGGCGTATATAAATATACAAATACATACATATATAGATATAGATATATATATATATGTATGCATATATATAAATATATATATATTTGTGGTGTATGTGATAACATTGCTAGCAATGTTAACTATTGTTAATTGTTGTTGTGCGGCGTTAATCATTACGATTCATCTAATCAGGTAAATCAATGCTGATGAATGGCACCACCGGCTTTAAAATATCATTCTTGGCCGCTTTCTTGCTCTTCTTGTCGTGCTTGCTAAACTCGTGCATCGCCTCTGTGGCAGCCATGTTGCTGGTCGATGATGAGGATGCGTCCAGTGGCACTGATTGACCCGCATGGCTTTGCGTCTCCGCATGATAGCTAATGTTGCCGTACTCCTGCAGGAACGGCATGGCCGAAAGCAGAAACTGGCTAAACGATTTACGAATACCAAACCACCACATGTTGCCGCCTTTGGCGGTAAAGCTTAAAATAATGAGCGCGAGTATGGAGACCAGCAGCGGGGCAAAGACCACAATGTACGGAAACTTGATTTCGCCATCCAGTTTGTCGCAGATAACCACCTGAATGCATGCACAAAACCAAAAACCAGATTAACATTGGAGATTAAATGGCAACGCAGTGCGATCAGACTGAAACGGACTTACCTGAAAGCAGAGCAACGGAAGAACGGTGCAAATATTGCCAACGGCTGCATTAAGTGCAGCTTTCTTCTGCTGCAGCGTCACTTCCGGTGTGCGCATCATAATGCCACAGAATATGATATTATAAAGTACGCTAACTAAGCTCAAACAAATGACAATCCACATGGGCACAAACACCACATCCCAGTTCCAGTAGACAAACTTGTCCAGCTTAAGCGGCAATGATACAAATTGCAACGCATTAACAGCTAAAAACAGCTCCAGCTCGAAGGAGCGATCATGCTTAACAGCCCACACACAGGCACCGACACTGACCACAGACCCAAAGATGAGCGGTATAAAGACGAGCACCCACAGATGCCGCTCCGACGTAAGCTTGTCGCAAGCCAACAGCTCGAACATTAGCAATATCAGATGCAGTGACAACGATATGAGCATCGCCTTGAACTGTGTGTAGGAGTCGCCTTCAAGGCGATAGTGCGGATAGCGGCACCAGACAATGGCACCCACTATGGCACCCAATATGGCAGTGCATTTCCAAATCCACAACGGTGTAAAAATTGCCCAATACGGCCAATCTGCAATTGATCATCGATATTAATTAAAGGCTCTGTTCGCACCGCCACTGAGTTGATTGCCACCATACCAATGTAACCATCGAGACGCAACGCAAAAAGCGTTACGAATGTGAATAGGCTGCAGTGCACTATGAATTTACTGTAATAAAGGATCAGATTAGGATATACATCAAATAGAACGTAGAGCGTTTGTCTGCATTGCATTGCTTACCATGGATTAAAGTCACGAAATAATGATTCGAGATTCATGTTCCCTCAACCAGAATACAGAATGTGTGCAGCTGCTGCTGTTGTTAGCCTGTTGTTATCAAAAGTTCCAGATCCAGATGATGAAGACTTCCGCCACTAGTTGCACATTATTGTTGCCCTTGTTGCCCTTGTTACCCGTGCGGCTCTGGCAGCTGACGTCAGCTCTTCAACTGGCACTCTGCGGAAAGTTTATCGAAGAATTATTTGTTGAATATTTTTTGGAACAGTTTCCTAATGATTATGGAAACACTGGGATACTATTAAAAAAAATTGCTAGGTATTTTTTTTTGTTGTGTTTATCTGTCTATCAACAAGGTATCGAGAATCGATGACGTTTTTTTACGCTCCCTGTTAAGTTATCGATATGACAGAGATGGGTATTTGGCATTGTTTGGTTCGATATTTCGCTTCGATATTTTGTATTAATTGCTTTCCCCTGTTTCGTTTTGTGATATCGCCCATCTCTAGTTGATGCACATGCCTGACGAAGTGGACGAATCTGACTGCTGCGGCAATGGGTGCACGAACTGCATTCTTGACAATAGGCCAGCACCCAGCCAGCGTGCACTTTTGGCTGGCAAACGTAACGTCATCGAAAACTATGCCAGATTCCGACTGCTCAGCAATGAGGCAATGAACGGCGATGCACAGGTGCGAATTTTGCACTTTGGCCACACTTTGACTGAGGATGCGGACGATGATGACGACAGCATATTGGACATTCCGCCTGGTCATCATATAATGTTGCGCGCTGAGCTTGCTGGCCATGCCGTGTTGCGACCCTACTCACCCTACTGGACAGACTTTGTGGGCAAACAGTTCAAAATTGTGGTCAAGCTGCGAGCAGGCGGACCCATGTCCGATTATTTGGCAACGTTGCAGCCGATGCAAGTGCTGCAATTTCGCGGACCCATTGGCAACTATGCGCACGACGCAAGCCGTGCCAAATGCATATTCATTATAGCACAGGGCGTGGCAATTGCCCCGACGCTTCCACTGGTCGCCGAGGTGCTGGACAACGAAGATGACATGTGTTGCATACGGCATTTGATATGCGCACAGGATCTGCAACATGTCTACTTTCGGGATCGTTTGCTAGACTTTGCCCAGTACTGGAATTACAATCACTGTCTCTATTTGGCGCATCAGCGTTGTGCTTTCTGTGCCGATGGCTGTGATGAGTCGTGTGAGCAGCTGCGCAAGAGTTTGCGCTACAGGGAAACGGTGCACACCGGGCGTCTGGATGCCAACCGCCTAGCATCACATCGTCCAGTATCGTCCAGCAATGCGGCGGCGGCTGCTCCCATTGTAATCATATCGGGGCATTCAAGTTTTCAGCAGGCAATGCGAGAGACTGCAGCCAGCGTTTTAGCTGTGCCAGACGAACATATTTTCCTACTCTAATTTACCGACTAGTAGAAAGTGGAAGACATACATCCTGCTCCTGGAACCATTCACAACTCTTGACAAATGTATGTATTGCAGCAGCAACAACATTAAAGGGACGTCTTCCTCTCACTCTCTGTTTCTTATCGATTCGTTAGATGACATTTATTGTTATCAATTTGAATTGTTAAAATCGGCGATTCAAAAATGTGTGTGTTGATGCACTGAAGAACCCTAATTGATTTTGAGAAACACGCCAAAATACTAATTGGCTTTTCATTGGGAATTGCTTGTCCAAGTCGCGAGGATCACTCTCACGCTCTCAAAAGTCAAGCGTCTATTTACGACTCGCAGCCAGCTATTTTTTAAGGTTGGGCGCCAAAAAAACCTAGTCGGAGCAAAGCAACAAAATTATGCAATCAAATCAGAAAACTAGTAAATGTAATCAGTAGTATTAAATTTATAATGTGATAATTAACTGTACATCGTTATAATATTATTTACTAGCTGTTCTAATGATTTTTCACACGCAAAATGCAAAAATTAATCAAATTATATGAATAAGCAGCTGAAATCGTTAGCATTTGAAATTAGTTGCGTGTTCGTTAAGTGTGGAGTAATTTCGTTACGTGTGGAGTAACTTCGTTACGTGTAGAGTAATTTCGTTGCGTGTGGAGTAATTTCGTTGCGTGTGGAGTAATTTCGTTACGTGTGGAGCTAAGTCGTATATGTGTGTGCGTGTGTTGTGTTACATATGCGCTATGATACTCTGGCAGTCATCTTATCAAGTGTTTACTCGATACCGCAACAAAAAGTACTCGATATTTTCGATAGTAAAACAATGCAAATTTCGAACGATTGACGATGACGAACGCCTAATGAGCAATAAATAAACAAATTGATTACATTATTAACGAATTGAAGTGCTTGTGCTTGTGCTTGTGCATTCATATCCAACCATTGCATTTAAGCCACTCGCGGCTCGAATCCCCCCCATCAACTGCATCATTAGTTGCTGGTGGCACTCAAACCAATATTTTGTTTGGAGGTGTGTGGAAAGATGACCGCCTCGGACAAGTATACTTATCAGCGGACGGTGCTATGCTTGGCCCGTGTACTGGCTGGCATTCAGCCCACGCCATGGGACAAGGTTGGTGCCGAGTGGAGATGGAAGGAACGGGTTGGATAAATTGGTCAACGGGGGTTGGCAACTGGGGCTGATAAGGTCTAAAACTCTGACAGCAAAATTAAAAATCGAACTTTTGCGCAACTAGCGTTGACCTTGAAACGCAAGAGACATGCGTGTTCTGTGCGGGGGCAGTCTGTGTGTGTGTGTGTGTGTGTGGGGGAGGTTGAGTCTGAAGGCATTTGGCAATGTTATTGTTATTTGTTGCTGACATTTGATATCCTTTGTGCAGGTGCAAACGCTATTCCGCTACTGTCCGCAGGAGAATGCATCGGGCGTATTTTGCTTGGACTCGAGGGCCCAGGATGCGGTCATTGCATTGGGCATTTACTTTCTGGAAGGTGGCTGCCAGCACGAATCACAAATCGTGCCCTATCTGCTGCGACTGGCCAAGAGCCTGCCCAAGGCGAGAATACACGATGAGCGCAGCAGTAAAGTCGAACGTGAGTCTAAAGCCACAAAATACAATAATTAGCCCGATTATCAATTAAAAATTCAATCAATTTCGTCGTCGATTTGCAGGTGTACGCATACCGGCAGCGGAGAAGTTTAGTTTCTGTTTGAACACACTGCTATCGGATATAGCAGCGAAATGTCCAGAGTCGCGGGAGGAGATCATACTGAATCAGGTGGAGACGCTGGGCACACTGGCGAATATCGTGAAGCCCGGCAAGGATAGCAATTCGGCGCCACCGCCAATGGTTTTGTGCAACGCAACGGTGCCGTTGCTATTCGGTTTGGCCAGATCGATGGGTCGCTATGCGAGCAATGATCCGCCGCTGTTGTGCCGCATCTTTCCGCCTGAACAGCTGCACATACAACGTGCCAGCGCTGGCGGTGGCAATGGCACTTACAATAACAGCTCCTTTAGCAGCAGTGAACGTTTGGCGACCACACAATTTCGTCCAATCATACCGCGTTCGATGTCCGGCACCTTGGCGAACCATAATCACAATTCGAATTTGGATGACCATCATCATCGTATGCGCCCATTGGGGGGCTCTGGCAGGCAGAGAGCATCGTTGCACACGTATTTCTCCGTACCGTATGATCCACGTACGCATTTCTTTACACGCTACGGCTCCAGTTTCAATCAGTTTCCACATATGCGTGTCAATCAATGCGAATCGCCCAGCAAGAATGGCCCAAAGCCATTGTATCGTGTGCCACCGTTTCCCATCCAGCATTTGCAGACGATATTTGCGGTGTCCAAGAAGCTGCTGACCAAGGATACCCTCGACTATTTGGATGAGCTGGGCAGCGATATATTCTCATTGCATTTGAATAATGGCAATTGCTACAAGAGCTTCTCGGAGATGCTCAATTTGGTGCTGGTCACATTGTTGCGCGAACTGTTGCAGCATCAGATCGATCTGCCCACACCGTTCACCAAGGATGTCCAGGAGTTTGTCAAGCGACTCTTTCTCAACGGCCAAACGGAGCTGCAGAACAAGCAGCAGGATCAGGAGCGCGAACGACGCGAAGAAAATGGCATCGCCGTCGTCAACAAATACAAAATTAATGTGATGGCAAATGCCGCCTGCGTGGATCTATTGGTTTGGGCCATACGCGATGAGACGGGTAAGTTAATTGGCAACAAAAACAAAAAAAAAAAAACATAAAACCGACACTCACACAATGAAAAGAAAGAAAAAAAATACGCTCGCAATGCAAATTTGGTATATTTTTGGAGTATTTATTGGGAATCTTTGATTTGATTTTATAGCACAGAAAATGATTAACTGATCGAATTCTGATCCGGATTCTCTGCTTCTGTCAGTCTGATATATATAACGAGTATATTCCCACATTTCTTTTGGAAGAACTTTTCGTCAAAGTTTCAGTCGAATATTTTTTGTTAAGCAAAAAACAGAATTGAAAAATTTATTGATTTATTTGAGAGTTGCTTATAGCATTTAGAGACACAAAATATATCGCTGATCATATATGAAAATCAATCTCTCACTTGTTTGTTTCGATATGACAAATATATATCAAATGTTATCGATTTTTATCGAATTATACTGCCTGGGGTATAAACATGTATGTAGCTTCGGTGTCGGGGTCCGAGGATAGCTTTTATATTATTTGGTTGATTTCTATTCTATTTCTAGTTTTGTGTTTTGATATTTGCATTTTTTATTTTCTTTGTGTTTTTCGTAAAAAAAAACCGTAATTTTTTTTACAGTTGATGTCGACTATAACGTGCCATCATTGCAAAATGGCTTGCATTTTTTATTGAAAAAAGGTCAAGAGCAGTTCCTACCCCGCCCGTCTCCCTCCCTTTTAAACACAATTGTTAATTTGTTGATTTCTGATTATTGTTTGAATTTCTGTTCTTTTGTTCCATTATCATTTCGATACTCAATCGTGGGAATCCCATTGTGTTGCATGCTGCTCCATCCAAAAAAACATAAATAAAAATAATGTTTGAGGTTGTCGTTTTTTTGCATTTCCGTTTGTGTTTCCCTTTGATATGATATGTCTATGATCTGTTTGTAATCGTTTTAAATACCACCTTCCCCCGCCCCCCACAGAGGCGGACAAACTGTGCGGACGACTGTCCCAGAAGCTCAATCTGATGCTGAGCCATAAGATCGTGATGGATCATATGCCGCTGCTAATGGTCTGTCTGGAGGGATTGGGCAAGCTGGCACAGAAGTTTCCCAATATTGCCGGCACATCGATATCGTATCTGCGTGATTTTCTTGTCGATCCCAGCCCGATATTGGGTAAACTGCATACGTATGCAATGCAAACGCTTGCGCTCCAAAAGAAGGAGAAGGAACTGACGCCATTCAAGATTGTTGTCCAGCATTCGGATTCGCGTTCGGTTGTCGACATCTTTGGTGACAATCAAAAGCAGCCAGGCACTGGACGCAGCGGTCATGCGGCCTTCGAGGCACTCCGCGATGCTGCAATTGAGAATCTATCAATTGCCCTGCGCTCTGCTCACACGCTGGACCAGTTCTGTGTGCCCGCTTTGGTTGCCAACGTCTCCAATCGTTTGTTCACCGCCGAGAAGCACGAGAGGTGAGTCATATCTTATGCGATTATTGATAATTGATCATTCGCTAACCGCAAATTGATATCTGCAGTGAGTCAACGCTAGTCAGTTTGAACATAATTGTGATGCTGGGTCACGTGGCCGTCGCATTGAAGGACACATCGAAGACGACACAAAACATACTGCAGTTCTTCATACAGCGGTTCTGCAAGGTGCCATCGGAGCAGAATGCATTGATTGTCGATCAACTTGGCTGCATGATCATCTCGCAGTGTGAGACGCACATATTCGATGAGATCATGAAGATGTTCTCGCGCGTCACCGTACAATCGGCATCGCTGGCATATAACTCAGATCCGGAGAATCGCAAGCAATTCCATCATGTCTCCGATGCGGTTGTCAATGCATTGGGCAACATTGCTGGCAACATTCAGGGCGATGCCGAGATGCTTGAGTTGCTTGGCAAACTGTTGGAGTTGTTTGTCCAAATTGGACTCGATGGCGAACGGTCATACGATAATACGCCGGGTGCGCAAAAGGCCAGCTCGCGTGCCGGTAACCTGGGCATGCTTATACCCGTAATTGCTGTTCTCATGCGTCGCCTGCCGCCGATCAAGAATCCGCGTCAACGTCTGCACAAGCTCTTCAAAGATTTCTGGGCGTACTGTGTCGTTATGGGATTCACAAATGCCCGACTCTGGCCAGCCGATTGGTATCAGGGTGTGCAGCAGATAGCGGCCAAATCGCCGCTGCTCATCTCACAGACGGCACACAAATCGGATATGCGGGAACTCAACTATACGCTGGCCATTAAGAGCGATTCGGTGAATGAGCTGCGCAGCCAAATACTGGTGCTGCTCGAGCATTCCTCGGACAATGTGGCCGCTTGCATCAATAAGCTCAGCTTTGCCCAGTGCACCTATCTGCTCAGCGTCTATTGGCTCGAAATGCTGCGAGTCGAAAATGCCGATGAGCCCAGCCTGGAGCCCATTATGAGCTACCTATGCGATACGGCTCTCCAAAAGGACAAAACCAACATTTGGCAATGCGTTAAATGGTGAGTCATCCAAAGTATATTCAGACGATCCACATGAATCTATATATATATATGTATATATAAGTTGCTGTAATCGGGCATTAAATCATCAAACTGATACGATGACGTTTTATAGGTTCCCATTCCGATTTTAGTAAGTCAAGTATACAAATTCCGGTAGAGATTCTTTGCAACTTGTTTACTGCTTGCTGTGAGAGGCAGAGACTTGGCTCTCGCATTCCAGCTTAAGTTTGAGGCACATTCAAATAGACACAGCTAAAAAAGATAATTCAGTTTCGGTATTTGGGTTTAAAGAAAGAAAAAAAATGCTGAATTTTGGTGTTGATCAATCGTTTAAAATTGGAGACGAGCTCTTGGACAACTATAGCTTAAAGCTGGCATAGGAAAAATCTGTCGATTGAGATGAGAGAGATTCGGACATAGATTAGCATCTATGGTTTATTGATTGATGCTTGATTGATTGATGATTGATCTAAGCTGTCGCTATAAGTTATTGAATCTCTTCAAGTTGAAATTTCTAATTGAGATTTATGATTAACGCAATCATTTTCAGCGTTGCCGATCAGGTTTTTGAGAAATTTCGCAATGTGCTGTTTGCGCACGATGAGATCCGCGAGAAGGTGCTGGAATCGCAGGCGACGCTGCTGTTGGTGTACTTCAATCACATCCATAAGCAGATCCAGCTGGTGGCGGATCAGTATCTATCGCAGCTGGTCGATCGCTTTCCGCATCTGCTGTGGAATCGTCGTGTGTTGTGGTGCATGCTGGACATACTACAGTTGCTGGCGTACTCATTGTCACTGGATCCCAACGAGGAGACGCCCATTTTGCGTGTGGTCTCAACGCCGTATACGCTGCAATTGATGGACTCGCTGCCGGCACGCGAGCTCCGGCTCAAAGATTTCGCCGATCGCTGTCAGGGCATTGTGAACGAGGCAATGAAGTGGGCGCCACGCTCGACACGCTCCCATCTGCAGGAGTATCCCAATCAGATACCGACACCAGTGCTGGCCCATCACAGCGGCCTGGCGTTGGCCTTCGATTCGGTTGTCAACAGCAGCACCCTGCATCCGGGCAATGCGCTGAGCACGCTCAGCAAGCGGCCCAGTTGCGTTAATTCGGATACGCCACGATTCGTTTCCGTGCTGTGTCTGCGCAGCAAATACGCCGGCGAGATAAGCGGCCTGCTGTCCGTGTTGAGTGAACAGGATAAGGTTGGCCTCGCCGATCGACTGGTGAGCGATGTGTGGGGTGCCTGTGCGGAGAAGAGCGATGCTCGACATCGTGGCGCTTTGTGGCGTGCCACTGCCTATCTGATCATCTGTGCCGAGATCGATCGCAAGCTGCTGCATGCGGTGGCCAGTTCGCAATTGGAACTGTTTACGGAGTCAGCGATGGAGACGGCTGTCGAGTGCTGGCAATGGGTGTTAACCGCTCGACAGGATCTCGAGCTGTGCTTCATCCAGGAGATGGTCAGTGCGTGGCAGACAACGTTCGAGAAGCGTATGGGTCTATTCGCCTGGGAAATGGAGGGCACCAATCCATTAGCCGCCTACGACGGCTGCAAACTGGTCAGCAAACCGATCCTAATTGCACCGCATCTCATCTGGCTGCAGTTACTCTCCGAAATGGTGGACACGGCCAAATATTGTAATCGCGACAAGGTGGAAATGTTCTGTCTGCTTCTGCATCGCTGTCTGCCCATATTGAAGAGCAGTCGACAGAATCGTCAGGTGGCCACTGTTGGCTGTCGCTTCAAGTTGCTGCAGTGCGGCCTGTTCTTGCTACAGGGCAACACGATACCCAAATCGCTGGCACGGAACATTTTGAGGGAGCGCATCTATTCGAATGCACTCGACTATTTTTGCGGACCGCCCACGTGCCCCAATCAGAGTCGGGAACAGCTGCTCGAGGATATACTGATCTTGCTCAAATTCTGGCAAACGATGCGCAGCGAAAAGAAACATTTGGTCACATCGGAGGTGGGTGATTATGATATAACCAGCACATCGGTTAGCTCCACCCAAATGTTGGCGGTGCGCAATAATCCAGAGACAGCATCGCTAATCAGTGGTGGCGCCGAATATGCTCGCTCCATGAGTGCAACGGGCAATGCAAGTGGCTGGTACAACACCATACCACATTCAACGTCCACGTTGTCGAAGCGTTCGTATCGCTCCAAGCGTTTGCAATACCAGAAGGATTCATATGACAAGGATTACATGAAGAAGCGCAATCTGATACTCGAACTGCTTGCCGTCGAACTGGAGTTCCTCATCACCTGGTATAATCCCAACAGTCTGCCCGATCTGATAGTGCCAGGTAGGTTTGTCCACTGATAGCTTGATGGGTTAATTGCAATCTCTCCAACATTTTTGTTGCAGGCGAGGAGCAGATCACCGAGTGGCGGAATCGTCCCTACAAGCCAAATGTTTGGCGTGACTATGCCCGCTTAGCATGGTGCTACAATCCGGCGCTGGCCGTCTTTCTGCCGCAGCGCATCAAGAATGCGGAGACCATTGACGAGGAGGTGTCGCGACTGGTCTGCTCGGATCCGATAGCCGTTTGTCATATACCCGAGGCGTTGAAATATTTATGCACCACCAAGAATCTGCTGCAAGAAAGTCCCGATCTTGTCTACATACTATCCTGGTCAGCGGTGACGCCCATCCAGGCGCTCTCCTACTTCTCGCGACAATATCCATCGCATCCGCTGACCGCACAGTATGCGGTTAAGACGCTCAGCTCATATCCGGCGGAATCAGTGCTGCCGTATATACCGCAACTGGTGCAAGCGCTGCGGCACGACACCATGGGCTATGTGGTGGAGTTCATTAAGAATATATCGAAGCGATCGCAGATAGTGGCCCATCAGCTGATCTGGAACATGCAGACGAACATGTACATGGACGAGGATCAGCAGCATCGTGATCCCATTCTGTATGAGGCATTGGATGTGCTCACCCAGAACATCATTGCCTCATTCTCTGGCGCCGCAAAACGTTTCTATGAGCGTGAATTCGATTTCTTTGGCAAGATCACAGCCGTATCCGGCGAGATACGATCCTTCCCCAAAGGCATTGAGCGAAAGAATGCCTGCTTGGCGGCACTGAGTCGCATCAAAGTCCAATCCGGCTGCTATCTGCCATCCAATCCGGAGGCAATGGTCCTCGATATTGAATACAGCAGCGGTACGCCCATGCAGAGTGCGGCCAAAGCACCATACTTGGCCAGATTCCGTGTCTATCGCTGTGGCATCAACGAGCTCGAGGCACGCGCCATGGAAGTGTCCAATAATCCGGTAAGACAAACTCCCCAACTTCGATGTTGTTAGATTCTCAGAACCCCAAAATGCCCCAAGCTTAACTAGCGGTAGCAGTGCTCTAGTCGAAAGATCGAAGTATTCGACTGGAGATACCCTTTAAAAGCTCGAGCGAGGCATTAATATGCTCCTATCTTCAAGCAAGCTCAATATCAAAGAAGAAATCAGACGCAGGTCAAATGATAAATGGCTCCAGATGCCGTATAATGATTTCTGCAGAAGCTACAAGGAAGAGGTAGAGGTAGAATCCCCGGAACACTTCTTCTGCTTCTGCCCAGCACTTGCCCGCAAACGCTTGGCAATCCTGGCAAATTATTCCGTAACTAGCCTATCAGAGCTAGCCAACATGAGACCGGCCAGGATCGCAAAGTTTATAATTGGCAACTGGCTGCTCAAATCTCTGACTTTTTTGAGGTTTTAATACACGAGTGTTGGAGAAATCTAGCCGAGATCCCATACAGCATCACAGCGGGCCAAACATGGCCTCAACCTTCGTTTTAAGCTAACCTAACTTAAACTAGTCTTTCCCAACTTGAATTCGGTCTTCAACTAGAGCTAAAATCAATTCAGTTTTCGAACGATTTCTAAAAAGTAGAAATGTAAATCCAGAAACTACTCTAAGAAAATCCTTTCGGAAAGATCAGCTCTCGACTGGTCTATTAGTGAGAAGTCTCAATGAGAAGTCACTCTGCTCTTCACTATTTTCAGATGAAGTGAAATGCATTTTTTAAAAAATAGAAACTAATATAAGAATAAGAATTCTGCTAGAGAACAAAAACACAGCAAAACTACTGATGACATCCTAGTTTTATCAGCTAATCCCCAGCAGCTCTGTCTCAGTCTTACTCATCATATCTCTCTCTCTCTCTCTCTTGCTGTCACTTTCTTTGTCTGTCTTTGTCTAATGTGTGCATGAGCAGAACTCACAGGAGGATGCCCATATGACGCTGGGCGTCGAATCGTGGCAGGCAGCCATATTCAAGGTGGGCGACGATGTGCGCCAGGATATGCTGGCACTGCAAGTGATCACCATATTCAAAAATATCTTCCAACAAGTTGGCCTGGATCTGTTTCTCTTTCCCTATCGCGTTGTTGCCACAGCACCAGGTGTAAGTTGATTGCGTTTTGATTGTTGCATTTGCTATTATAATTATATAAATGTTATTAACTATTTGCTATTTGCACAGTGCGGCGTCATTGAGTGTGTGCCCAATGCCAAGTCACGCGACCAGCTGGGCAGGCAGACAGATTCCGGCCTATCCGAGTACTTCCAGCATCAGTATGGCGATGAGAGCTCCAAGGAGTTTCAGGCGGCTCGGGCCAATTTTGTGAAATCGATGGCCGCCTATTCGCTAATTGGATATCTGCTCCAAATCAAGGATCGACACAATGGCAACATCATGATCGACAAGGATGGCCACATCATACACATAGGTATAAATGTCTAAACTTAATCGTTGATTTTTCAATTTCAAATATTGAAACTCATTTTTTTAGTCGCTCATCGAACTTAATCTAGAAATCATTAATCATTCTCATCTGCTTCAAACTAAATTCTATAATTATTTTTTGTGTTGAAATTGATTAATGGCCAAATGAAATCCAAGCAGAATTTCGGTCCTTTTTCATCGAGTTTGAAATCCGAAAAACAAACTGGGAAACACTTGCAAGTTTTTCAAATACAGATTAACTTATTTTATATTATATTATATTATATATATATATATATATATCCTAGACACTAAACTCTTTCAACAAACTTAATTCGACACACAGATTTTGGCTTCATGTTCGAATCATCGCCGGGCGGCAACATTGGCTTCGAGCCGGACATGAAGCTCACCGACGAGATGGTCATGATAATGGGCGGCAAAATGGAGGCGCCCACCTTTAAATGGTTCAGTGAGCTGTGCGTGCAGGCGTTCCTCGCTGTGCGACCCTATCAGGATGCGATTGTCTCGCTGGTATCGCTAATGCTGGACACGGGTCTGCCCTGCTTCCGCGGACAGACGATCAATCTGCTCAAGCAGCGATTTGTTGCCACCAAGAACAACAAGGAGGCCGCCGCACACATGTTGGCCGTCATACGTAACTCGTATCAGAATTTCCGCACGCGTACCTACGACATGATCCAGTACTATCAGAACCAGATACCCTACTAAAGTCTTCTCTGCCAATGGAGTTTTCAATTTTCCTTTTTTTTTTTATGATTTTGTTTGTGTTTTGGTTTTATTGCTTGCAAGGTTGTTGGTCGAGTTGTGTTCTGGTTTTGGTTTGGTTCGGTTTGGTTTGGGGTTCATTGATTAGCCAAATGCTGTATTATTTATTATACCTATTATTTTCATATTTTGTCTTGTTTTTTATATGTGCGTTTCTTGTTTTTGTTTTTGTATTTAAAATGCTAGCTGTTACCTTTTTCGAAGATTTTACGATGAATAATACTAAATCAATTATAGGGCAATATGTTGTACAATGTATTTGTTACCTACATGTATACAACCAATACATATTACTTACATATTTATATATCTCTCATATATATATATACACATATATGTATATATACCGATACTTACAACAAATAATTAACGGGCTTCAATTGCGAGTTGATCAACAATAATTCCATATATCCATATATTAAAAGCATACAATAATTGCATTATTTATCTACTTGCAATATTTAGCCACTGTGCATTTTGTGTGTGTTTAAAATTATATATATACAAGTTAATACGCATTGTTTGTTGGACAATAGGAAAACAAAATTAAATAATAAAAAAAAAATATACAAATTAATTTGAACAGTTTCTGTTTGATTCGAATATCGGAGTCTTTCAATGACGCTTGAACAGAACGGCTCCACATTTAACAGAACTGTTGTCGAGTTCTGTTAACGCTAAAATGCTTTATGGACAGTGTTGGAAAGCGTTTATCTGGGCATGCTGAAGAAGAAGCAGAAGAAGAAACGGGGCTGACAGAAAGAATAGCAGGAAAGAAGCTAAAAGTACGCCTACAATATCGAATAATTATCGTGCAATGTTCTTTTCATTATCACTCGTTTGCTTTGGCACTTCATTCGTCGTTTAGTTGCTTCTCATACACGAACGAACGTGAACGTGGAACGCGCGGCGCATATTATTTTTCGTTTAGTGAAAGTGTAAGTAGTGTTGCCTGCCTTGCTGTGGTTGTTGTTGCAGCAGCAGTTGTAGCGACGACGTTTTGTGCACAATACACACGGCCGCCATATTAAAATGGGCAAAAAAAGGTAGTCGATAAAAAAGCATACGCATAATACACAATACTCTCTGATTCTTGTCTGACAGTGCCAATATATTGTTGTACAACTACAACATTCAACATACAACACAAAACTACCAGCCAACGTGTGTGTGTGAGAACAGCGAAAGTAATTAGAACGAAAACGAAGCAAACGCAAATGAAATATACGAAAATGAAGCAAAACCAAATAGCAAATAGCAGCGAGAAGTGTTGCGCGTGAAGAAGCAGCAGCGCATAGTTGGAGCGAATAAAAAAAAATATAAACTCAAACAGAAAACTGTGCAAAAGCAAAAAAAAAAAAGAAAGAAAAACCGAAGGAATTCTGTGTAAAGTGCTAAAATCTTGTTAAATTTCAGTTGAACAAACGGCTATTCATTTTTTTTTCCACAACGACACGACGAATAAAAAGTATATACGGAAGCAAGGTGTATAGCGAAAGACGAAACGAAACGAAAAAAGGCAACGGCAGCGGGTCGCGCTCTCTGTGTATGTGTGTGTATATACATGTATGTATGCATGCATGTATGTGTAAGAGCGTGTGTATGTGTGTGTCGCTTCATGCATGTGTGCGTGTGCGTGAGGCGGCGGCGACAGCAGTAGCTAAAAGAAAGCAGTGAAGAAATATATATGTTAAAAAGAAAAGAAAGAAATGATAGCAGCGCAAAAACGAAAGAAAAGTTATACATATGTATGTATATATGTATACTTATGTACGTATATTTGTATATCCTACATAACGGAAAAGCAATTCTAGCAACGTATTTTTTCTCTTTTTTTTTTTTTGTGGTCAGTGAGCAGCAAGCTGAGCTAAAACATTCAAATTAGTACACACATACACATGCACATATACACACACTCACATTCACATACATTTCTGCTAATGCAAAAGAAGAAATTGCGTTACACAAGCGCCCCTTTTACCGCTGCGCCGCCTCAGCCACTCGCACTTTGGCTATGTATGTGTGAGAACAAGTGCCTTAATCAGCGTGCCCCCGTATGTGTGTGCGTGTGTGTGTGTATGTGTATGTGAGAGTGAACGCGTGCGTGCGTTAGTATGCGTTTGTGCTATTTAATAAACTGTATAACTATATATTTATTATTATTAGTTATTATTTCTTCATGGTTTTTTTTTTGTTTTTTGTTTGAGTGTCCTAAGAGTTGCATAGGTATATAGTACATGAGTATGTACATACTATGTAAACTGAATTATAAAATGAGAAAACATTGATTATGCGTTGGCGCGCCGATCTGTTTCTTATAGTCCATCAATGTTGCACAGTGGTGCCAGATCAATGCAATAGGCGAGTGCAGTTATTGTTGTTGTTGATGCTGATCTTGCAGTGAATTGTAAAACGAAAGTTGAAATTGGAAAAATAACATTCTTGAATTGGAAGAGAGTTGAAATGTATAAAGGAAATACAATATATATATATATATTATTTTAGATAATATTCAAAACGTATAAAATATTGTCAAGCGATTTGGCTTTTGTTTGTGATTTGAGTTCGACAATTTCGTCATTTACCGTTTGAGTATTATTATTATCAGATCATTGTCTCAAGGTTACTCGGGGCAGCTTGTGAGATGCACACTGCTTCAGATTGTGCACTGTGCAAGAATTCTGCGAACATGCTAGTTAACGGCTTAACAACCGACCCGAGCCCGTTCAAAGGAATTTCAATTAAATAAAACGAAAATTTGTGCAAATTTGTCGCTGTCACGCTGTTGTCATCCAACGTTGCGAAGTGCAACCAGCCAGCGACATGCGAACCGCCGAAGTGCACACATATATATATATATATATGGCACCTCTGCTGCTATATATATATATATATATATTGTGTGAGATACTACGTAAGCTAGAGTTCCCAATAGGACTTGTAGTTGACCATCCAAAAGCACTTATCGCTGCATGCATTTTCTGATCAAATTCAACTTAAACGCTTTTGCCAGCTAAGGTTAGCGGGATGGGGGATGGGGGGGTTTGTCACGGTAGTCGTTGTTCGTGAAACGCGCTCGATTTTGGTCAGGGACAAGTGTAGTGTCATGATGACACATGCGGTATTTACTTTCGCCAAAGGCCAACAGAAAAACAGTATAAAAATGAAAAAAAAAAAAACAAAAAAAATAGAATGGGTAATTTTACAAACTGAACAAAACTTTGGTTAGCATTTTGGAAACTTTGCCACTGAACTATGATATTTGGATTATTTAAAACTTGTCCTATATAGATATAGAAAGTGTGTTTACATGATGAAAAGATGGCAACGGAACGGAGCGAAACGAAACGAAACACACAATTCTTAAAGTTCAAAGGGGGACTGTCAACTTGCTACGTGCACGTGTGCGTGCATGGGCCAGAGCTAGTGCGTGTGTATGTAAGAAAGAAAGAGAGAGAGAGGGAGAGAGAGAGCGGAAGAGCGGAAGTGGAAGCAGGAGAGCAAGTGGCGCCTCTGCTGCTGCTGCTTGGCAACGTAGTCGCTTGGTGTAAACCGTTTGCTGCACGGCTCCTCTGCCGGGCCACAGCTGTTTCCATGCACGTTTGTTTTTCGTGCTTGCCTGCCTGTGTGCCAGTGTGTGCCTATAAGAGAAAAGGAGAGCGAGCGAGCGAGAGAGAGAGCAAGTGTATGTAGGCTGGCAACACTTTTACGCCTGCGTTGTCCTTCGCCTGCGCGTGACATTCCGATACTTATTTCTTTGTACTAAGCTTTTGCACGCCGCAAACTTTTATCGATTATTCAACGGAGCCCAGCAGCAGCCCCAATTGGACTCATGCGAGTTTCTCTCTCTCTCTTTCTCTCTCTGTGTGTGTGTGTGTAAGTGTGACTTTGGTGTTTGTTTGCTGTTCTGTTTGTTGCACAGTTTCCTTGCAAATCGATTCGGTTGGTGTCAGTGTTGTAAAGCAGCACTAGTTGCGCCCATTGCAGCACTGACAACCGGCCACCAAACTCCATTAACAGCGCCAGTAGCAGGCAGCAAAGCAGCAGCAGCAGCAGAGCAGCAGCAAAAGCCGACTGTAAAAATCGGAGCGTTTTTAGTCAACGCTGACGCCGCCTTGACGCTGGCGTCCTGTGCACCGCGTGCTCTTCGTATTTTTAAACGCTTATCGCACGTCTTCGTCGCAAGCAGCAGCGAAATCCTCGCTAGTTGATTTTTTTTTTTTTTACCACAAAAAAATCAATGTGAGAATTGTGCTCGTGAAATTTAGCAATAATTTGTATTTATTTGCTTCTCTTTTTCTCATTCGTAGTTGGAGTTGCTTTTTGGTTTGTCGGTCGGTCGGTTAGTCAGCTGCTGCCGTTGTGATTGCTTACATAATTGCTGTATTTCGTGGGTGGGTGACTGCGTAGCTTCCATTTGGCTGATCTAACCGAGAAGTTCGACAACGCTGATAGCGATAAGCCGAGTGCGAAAAAGTCGAGTCCGGATACGGAACGAGTTTTTCAGACTCGCTCGAAAAAGCCACACGCACACACATTCATGCATAACAGCTGTTCAGCTGAGTTTTCGTTGCATTCTCATTTATATCCCTTGCTGCAAGTGTATTATAATGTTTCGATCAGTGCCAAGTCTGTGTCGTGTTGCATATAGCAAATAACTGCCGGAGCCCGAAACTGATTTTGAAACTATTTAACAATTTCAAATGTTGTTTGTTTTGTACTTAATTATAGAGCCTTGCATGGGGACAATCGGCTAAAGACCTGTTTTGTATGAAAATAGACATTTTGTGGCAAGGATCAGAAATCCTGAGAGCCCACAAACATAACTGTTTTTGCTCTTCTTTTGATATGACATTATTTGTTGTTTGCGTTAGCTTTTGAGTGAAGAGTACAAAACGAAAATAAAGCGATGAACGCTTCCAAGAGTTGACCAAGAGCGCAGAGAGCGAGTTTCACAGCTAATTAAAAACCGATGATGATCCACCAATACATGCTAATATATGTAATTCGCTCTCTCTCTCTCTCTCTCTCTCTATATCTCTTTGCGACGGCAACAGTGGTGATCAGCTGTTTTTGACCACATAACCGCAACGTTCGAAATACCACAATCAGAAAAACTAAGTCG